GAGAGACCACAAGGCCGAGCACGTCCTGATCTGCGTGCACCCCGAGGCGCCCGCGCTCTACACCTACCTCAAGGTCGGCGGTTGCTACAGTTGTCCCGACCCCAGGGTGCCTTCAGTTGTCCGCTCCGTTTTCAAGCGAATCCTGGAGGCACCCTGGGCAGGGGGCACTTGTAGCAACGCCCGCCGAGGTCTCGAGGATCGGCGGGGGCGTCGCGGTGGAGTTCCGCGACGCCCTCAAGCAGCCGTCCGAAAACGCCAAGCAGGCGTAAAGGGCCACATGCGAACCCACACCTACACCCCACGATTTCTGAGGGGGGGAGGTCGGGCTCACTTTGCTCTGGAGCTGCCGAACGAAGTGAACCCCACCCTCCTCCTCAGCAGTCGTGGGTGGGTCTCGCACGTGGCCTCCTAAGGCCACCACGAAGATCCTCCGCAAGCTCGGCGCCAGTGGCCTTGGCGAGACCTGCCCTGCGAGGAGCAACGAGAAGTTCCAGGCCGACGCCTGGTCCTGCGGCCTGTGGACGAGTCGTTGGGTCGAGCGCGCCCTGCGCGAGATCCGAGGTGAGGGCCGCCAAACGCCCGTGAGCATCAGCACGATGTGCGCCCGAGGCAACGAGTGGACCAACAAGCTCAAGGAGGCCAGCGACAACGACCTGGCCAAGGCCAAAGCCAAGGCCAAGAGCAAGGCCAAGTCCTAGCCCCTCAAGGACCCCACGGCGGTCGAGCCGAAGCACGCCACCTTCGAGGAGGCAAGCGCTGCCACCCAGGCCTGCACCAAACGCCTCCCGTGCAAGGACGGTTCTAAAGCGTGCCGAGCCTGCATGGGCGAGTGGTTTGAGGTCGTGCGCAATAGAGGTTTCTTGGCCCAGAGCGCCAAGGACCTCTCCTGCGCAGGCAATGTGTAGCCGCGAACCTCGAGATCTTTCGAGTCAGACTTGTGCCATGATCTACAAGGCCAGTCGACACGAGCGCCCAAGATCGTCGTCATAAGCATCATCATCATAATCATCATCATCATCATCATCATCATCATCATCATCATCATCAGCAGCAGCATCAGCATCAGCATCATCGTCATCATCATCATCATCATCAGCATCAGCATCAGCATCAGCATCAGCATCAGCATCAGCATCAGCATCAGCATCAGCATCATCATCGTCATCATCATCATCATCATCATCATCATCATCATCATCTTCATCATCATCTAAATCATCATCATCATCATCATCATCATCATCATCAGCATCAGCATCATCATCATCATCATCATCATCATCATCATCATCATCATCATCATCATCATCATCATCATCATGACCATCATCATCATCACCACCGCTGGAAAAATCATTGATTGTTTTCGCCCAAACCCAGAAATTTATTATCTTCCGGGGATTCTTAACTGGGGTACTCGGTTATACCCTCACAGATCGATCCGGCTCGACACATGCAGCAACAGCATGTGGTCTACAGGGCTGCGGTCGCGAAGTTGTCATGATGTCGCCACTGTTTCGCAACGTCGGCTCTCGGGGACTTTCGGCGCTGCGGCGTCTGGCTGGCCATCTTATGTTGCATCCTCGGGGGACCTTGTCTGTCCCGTCGCGGCCCTGTCCGCGTCGAACCCGTGTCCAATCCATGTCGGACGCGCCGGATCCGTGTCGAATCCGTGTCGAGTCCGCGTCGAATCCACGCCAAATCCGCGCCGAGTCCGCGTCGAGCACGCGTCGGGCCCCCCAAAGACACCAACTTTTGGGACAGGCGAGGCCCCCCGAAGACGCAACAGAAGCCAACCTCTTCAGGAACTGGCCACGACCAGCCCGACGGGGCAGGCCAGCGCGCGGCGCTGCACGTGCAGGACGGCACGGCGCCCTATAGGGACAGCCGAGCCGGCAGCGAGTGGCTCGGCGGTCCTGGGGCTCGCCATGGAAGGCGCCTGCCACAGGAGGGCTGGGAAATTCGTGGCACGCCGGGGTACAGTCGGGGCGTTGACCTAAGGAACCCTAAATAAGGAACGAGGCCCCTTTTTCCAAAAATTTAAACTTCGATTTCCCATCGAAAACCTAAGGAAAACCTGAGGCAAGCTGTCAAACACTTAAGGAACACGGAGCCCCTCCCCAACGAAAAGGGTTCCTTCTTCAAGGCCTCGACTGTATAGGCTTTCCAACCGTCCCGAGACAGGCGTCCCCGACTGCGGAAATGATTCTGTGGACAGCATGCTTCCTCCGCTGAGCTGGTCCTGGTCTTGCTCCTGGCCTGCCTCCCCAGCCATTTTGGCTCAGGTCAGCTTTGCTCGAGCTGGCTGGCTCAAATTCCCCGTACTTCGTGGTGAGCGTTGTCTTAGTCGGCGTTTCGACATTGGGGGGATGGGGGGGAGGGGTGGGGGTCTGGCTCTGGACCTCTGCTTAGTGTGACTGTTAAGACTCCACCTGCTCGAAACAGGCGCCAACAAAAACAGCCAAGATCTACTCCATGGGGGGTGGGGGAGGGGGGGGCGAGGGCCCACGCCGATCTGCATCAAACAATACATAACAAACAATCACGTGGTCACCCGTGAGTTGCACAAGTGTTTCGAGAAGCTTGCGACGGCATCCGCTGAGGACAGCATGTTAGAAGAATCCACAACCGCATAAACATAAACTTTTAGCGCTCCGCGCGGATTTCTTGGATTCGCGCTGGACCCCCCTTCCCGGCGCTCGGCGGCGCCACGGGCGGCGCCGGGGGTCCTAGGCGCGGATCCGAAAAATCCGCGCGGAGCGCCAATAGTTTATCCTGATGTGGTTTGTTTTTCTTCGAGTTTCGAGAGAAGCTTACGACGGCATCCGCTGTGGACAGCATGTGCGCCCCCCCTCCCCGCAGGGATCCGCCACCCGCCAGAGCCCAGGGAGGCCCCAAGAAGGCTCCGGGGGGGCCTCCAACCATGGCTTTCTCCCCCTGACCTATCCTCGTCCTCGTTGGCCTCCTGCTCGACCATCTCCTCCTCACTCCTCCTCACTCCTCCTCCTCCTCCTCCTCCTCCTCCTCCTCCTCCTCCTCCTCCTTCCCCTCCTCTTCCTCCTCCTCCTCCTCCTCCTCCCTCCTCCTCCCTCCTCCCTCCTCCTCCCTCCTCCCTCCTCCTCCTCTTCCAACTCTCTCCTCCTCCTCCTCCCGCTCCTCCTCCCGCGCCTTCTTCTCCTCATCCTACTTCTTGCTCGCACGCCGTCGGCGTCTTCCTGTTCCTCCTGCTTCACCTCCTCCTCCTCCTCCTCCTCCTCCTCCTCTTCCTCCTCCTCCTCCTCCTCCTCTTCCATCCTTTTCCCTTGCAAGTCCGCCGACACACACACATAACAGTATCCCCCATACTTTTCTACATGTTCTGGGTTGTCGTCTTCCCCCTCACTTCCCATATTTCCCCATGTCTTCCGGGGAGTCGACGATGGATAGTGTGTGTGTGTGTTGTTTCCCCTCCTGAGTGATAGGGGGGTCGTTTTCAGAACGTGGCTCTCGCCTTGGCGCCGCTCTCAGTTTATGAACCAGCACGAAGGAGCCCCGTGGCACGGCAGACGACGGACGAGCGACGGACGACGGACGAGGACGACGGGGCCGCCCTGAAAAGGTCTGCCGCAGAATGTCGGGACGCAGGGCGGCTCCTCTTCGGATCCGGCTCTCCTCGCCTCGGCTCGGCGCAGCCCTGTCTGGAAGTGTCGCGGCAGCCTCCCTGGCATCGCTCGGACGTCCTGTGCTTCTCTCGGTCTCGTGCGTGTTTTTTTTTTTTCGCCAGATGATCAAGGGTGCTCCTCGATCGCCCCCGCCGAGAAAAGAATGGCACACCGCCCGAGCGATGCCAGGCTTCTGGATGGAGGGACGGGGGGTCGGTCTCAAACTGTGGCTCTCGCCCCAGCGCCGCCGTGCTCCTTCGTATGGGAAGTTTGCGTCGTCCTCAGGGATGAGGGAGCGGGGCCGTTTCCAACATGGAGGTCTCGCCCCAGCTCAGCGCGCATCCGCCTGGCATTCGGCGGTTCCTTCTCAAAGCGCGGCGCTCGCCCCAGCACCGAGCAGGCTCGTGTTCTGTTGAGTCCGCACCAGCTTCACGGGTGGAGGGGTACTGGCCATCGCTCGGACGTCCACTCCCTGTGCTTTGTGCGGCTTCGTGCGCGGCTCTTTCGCAGGATGACCCAGGATGCTCCCCGCCGAGAAAACGTGCACACGTCCGAGCGACACCAAGGGTAGGTCGGTTTCGACGTGGGGCTCTCGCCCCAGCGCCACGCAACCTTCGTCCAAGCATCCTGCAGCAGCTGACCGCGAGGATTGAAGAGGCCACAGGACACACACACACAAATAAATACACACAAATAAAAATGTACCCCATATTTTCCTAAATTTTCCTGGGAATCGACGATTAATTGTGTCTGTGTGTTTTGCCCCCTCCTGCTCAAGGTGGGGCTCTTGCCGGAGCGCGCCGCGGGGTTTCGTGCCACACGGCTGCAGCAGTTTGCAGGGGTGGAGCACGCACCGTCTTCACCATGGGGCTCTCGCGGTGGCGCCGCGCACGCTCATGCTGCAAAAGCACCGCACCAGCTACCAGGGCCGAGGACAACCCCACACTCCGAATCTCCTGCGGGCAGGCAGGCAGAGGGGGAGGAGCCTGATCTCCATCCTCGATCCCCGACGGGGAGGAGGGGGAGACGACGCCCGATCACTCAGCCAAGGTCGGGGGCGCGCAAACATGGATTAGCGATCCATGGATTTGGCGCGCGGTCGCCAACTCCGAGGATCGGGGGAGGTGCCCTCCCCAAAATGCTGCCGGTGCCGCCTCGCTCGGCGGCGGAAATCCGCGATTTCCCATGGAAACGGGACCCGTCGCCAATCCACGCCCCCCTCATCCATGTTTGCCATCGCCTGACAGGGACCCCGCCCCCGCCCACCCTCGATCCTCGAGGAGGAGGCGAAGGAGCAGCCTGGCCTCGGCCAAAGCAGCTCTGCCCCCCCCCCCGGGTTGGCGGACGCGATGGCGAAGCCGCCCAGATCGAGAACGCGGAGATCGCGTGGGGTGCCTCCACGGACATCTGCGCCTCCCGCCCCCGGGGCGCTCGCCCGTGCGCGCGCGAGGCGGGCGCTGCCGCGGCAGCTACAGCACCTCGGCCGCCGAGGCGCTCCGAGAGGACCAGCAGCAATGGAAGGCGAACGTACAGTCGGGGCGTTGACCTAAGGAACCCTAAATAAGGAACGAGGCCCCTTTGTTCCATAAGTTAAACTTCGATTTTCCGATCGAAAAACATGGGGAAGACCTGAGGCAAGCTGTGAAACACTTAAGGAACGCGGAGCCCCTCCCCAACCAAAAGGGTTCCTTCTTCAAGGCCCCGACTGTACTCAACGAGGTCTCCAAACACGTACGGCTGGTCCGCGCCGTGACGACTTGGGCGTTGGTTTCTGGCACCGCGTGGATCGTTCAGCCTTGAACGATCGGCGGCTTCTCGACCGCCAGATCGTGCCCAAATGGCCGATTCTGAACCACTGGCGGCGTTCAACCTGAGCGCCAGCGCTGGGGATCGCAGCCGCGTCGACGAGACGCGAAACGAACGCAGTTAGCACAAGGAGAAGCGAGTCCCGAGGGGAAGGGGTCCTGGACCCCGAGGCCCGGCCCCAGGACGAGATCTTCATCCCGAGCCGTTTTCTGACAGTCCCGGGGCCCGTGGGGGGGCCCCGAGAACCCGAAAGGGGGGGGGGGAGGGGTCCCGTGGGGGGGCAGCCCGGGGGGTGGTCTCGGGGGGCCCCAGGGCCCAAGAAGCCCTCCAGAGACTCTCCAAAAGGCCCCCAGGCGCCCCCCTGGGACAGCAAGGAAGCCCCGAGAGGCTCCCAGAAGGCTCCCAAGACAAACACAAGACTTCCCGCCAGAGGCTCCCGAGAGCGCTGCAGGGAGACTTCAAAAAGTATCTGGGCCCTCCTCTTTCAGCGCGCCATCCAACACAAATTAGCCAAAGCGACATTGAGTCGAAGGGCCCTTCGGGTTCTGGTGGGGACCAGGGTCAGAGTACCACCCACCCACAGGGTGCCCGGGGCCCAGGGGACCCCCCTGGGACCCAGACCCCCGACGTCATGATTTTTTCATTACGTCGACCCCCAGAGGTCCCGACCCTTTCCCTAGGACGGGCTTTGCATCCCGAGTCGTTTTTTGACGCTCCCGAGGTCTGGTGAGGGCCCCCAGAGGCCGAAAAGTTCAGAAAAACCTCCCGTCCTGATTTTTTCATTGCTCGAGGTGGTCTGGGGACGCGGTGCTCTGGTCGGAGCCCCCGGCCGACACCAACGGCGCACCGCACCCGCCGCGCTGAGATGGCTGGCACCGGTGAGAGCACCGGCTTCGGCGTCTGGGCGACAGGCACAGCTGCAGCAGCGGCAAGGAGGAGCCTCGCGTCAACGACGTCGGCTGTGCGGCACGACGTGCTCCTCTTCGATCCTCCAGCCAAGATCCTCCTCGAGTAATGAAACAAATCCTGACGGCAGGGCCCTCACCGGGCCTCGGGAGCGTCAACAAAACGACTCGGGATGCAAAGCCGGTCATGGGGAAAGGGTCGGGGCCTCTGGGGGTCGACGTGATGAACAAAACATTACGTAGGGGGTCTGGGATCCAAGATCCTCTTCGATCTTCTTCCTCCTCTCGGCGGGGGGCGGGGATCAGGGGAGGAAGCGCGCTGGTCCAGACTGAGCCCCTTGCCGACTCTACGCACCGCACGCGCCGCACCGACGTGGCCGTCGACGGTGAAAGCCCTGGCTCTGGCTTCGGGGCGGTAGGCTCAGAGGAGCCCCGTGTCTATGACGTGGGGTGTGCGGCACGAAGGACTCTGAGATCCTGGCGCTGCATGTTCCTTTGTTTGGCGAACAGCTTCGCCTGGTATCGACCTCCGAGATCATCGCAGATCGGCCCGGCTCGAAACGTGCAGCAGAAATATTGGGTCTACGGTCTAGGAGTATGGTCGCCATTCCTCGCAATGACGATATGTTTCGCAATGTGGGATCTCAGAGGAGGTCAAAGGGAAATGCATAAAACCTACTCTGTGCGGCACATGTTCCACCTCATAGACACTACTCCGGGCCGGCGCAGCGTGCCAACTTTCGGAGCCTGCCCAGGCCGATAGGGCAGTCAACGGAGGTAGAATGTATCAGGGCAGTCAAACACAGCGAGGGTACGGTGGGATGCGCCCACCCTGGGGGAGGCGGGACGAAGGGGAGAAAGGAGGGGGGAGGAGGAGGAGGAGGAGGAGGAGGAGGAGGAGGAGGAGGAGGAGGACGAGGAGGAGAGGAGGAGGAGATGGAGGAGGAGAGGACGAGAAGGAGGAGGAGGGAGGAGGAGGAGGAGGAGAGGAGAGGAGAGGAGGAGGAAACGGAGGAGGAGGAAGAGGGGGAGGAGGGGAGGGGGAGGAGGAGGAAGGAGGGGAGGAGGAGGAGGAGGAGGAGGAGGAGGAGGAGAGGAGGAGGAGGAGGAGGGGAGGAGGGGGAGGAGGGGGGAGGAGGAGGAGGAGGAGGAGGAGGAGGAGGAGGAGGAGAAGGAGGAGGAGGAAGAGGGAGGAGGAGGAGGAGGGAGGAGGGAGGAGGGAGGACGGGAGGACGAAGAGAGCCTCCTGGGAGAGCCCGGGGCGCCCCCAGGTTGGCGCGGAGGGGCCTTGGAGGGGCACCATCGGGTCTGGGCGAACCCCACGAAGCCCCCTCTGGGCGCCCCCAGGCGTCCATCCGCGTGGTTGATATGATCGAATAGTGGGGCATCCAATGAAAGAGCACGGACGTAGGAGCTGTCAGTGGCAGCGCGGACTTTCGCGGGGACGCCACGGTCAGTTCTCGGCGCAGAGGCCGTTGCCCTAGATGAGGCTTCGCGGGGTGACCATGCCCAGCCGACCTCTGGCAGCTATAAGAGCAGCTCGAACCTTGTGTTTCCCGAGCTGCGACACAAACGAAGTAGACCGGAAGGGAGGAGAGCCCGACGAGGCCGAGCCCCCAATTTCACAGTGCACATGCGTATCCTCGAATGGCCCCACAAGCGGCGCGATGGTGGAAAAAGAATAGCAGTAAAGTTGGTACGGTTTCTACGGGTGGTGGGGACTGGGGCCCTCTAGCGCAAGGGCCCGGACAATCGCCAGGAACTTGATGCCCCAGGGTGGCGGGCAGTGAGGCGGGTGGCTGGTTCAAATCGGCAAAGCGCCTAAGCCCAAATGGCCACGGGCATCGGGTAGAGCGAAAGGATACACATTCGTGTTAGTACACGGGGGCGGGTCGTTGAGTGGCCCAGAAGCGGTGCGATGGTGGTAAAAGATGGGGGGTGCGTTGATGCAAACTGCTTCAATGGCGGAGACGGTAGCGCAGGGGCCAGAGCCACTCCCCCGCGCAGGTCGCCCCCAGGACGTCGGCGCAAGCGAATTGTTCCACAGGCCACTCGCCCCGCAGAATATCGCCCGCGGCGCGGCATCTGACGGCCTGGCCCACCATCCTGATGCTCTGGACACGCCGAAAGTGCTCGCGGCGTGGCAGCCCGCGTCGCCCTAGAACTCGCAAGCTAGCACGCCCCGCTCGTCCTCGCGGATCTCGGCGAACCGATGCGCTCTTGACGTCGGCGACTGGTAGGAGGCTTCCTCTGGCCGGCCCTTGTAGTAACTCATGAGGTACCCCCCCCCTGGGTCTCGGCGCCCCCTGCCAAGCCCGGCGCCGAAACTGGCGTTTCACGGCGACATCGCGCGCGCCGTCGCGGGCGAGTCTCGTCTCGCCGGTCGCGCGCCCCACGGCTGCCAGCGCTGCAGTGGCGCTCGCGTCGCGGAAGGGGTTGCGCAGTTGCCCGCTTTCATTTCGTCCGCGAGATGTTCGAAGAGACTATCGCCGCGGCCCTCAACGCCGCCGTCGCCAGCCGCCTTTGGAGCGGACCAGGGGGCCGCCTCCAGGTCGAAGCGCCGCTTCGCGGTTCCTCGAAGACGCCCCCTGCCGAGGAACCCCGCGCAGCGCGGCCGCTGCGACCCCCGTTTCCAGCCCCTTTACTGTCGCCGCGCCTGGGCCCTAACTTCTCATAGAAACGCCGCTGGCAAAAGGGAGCGGACGGGCTGCCCCGCGGCGATGTAGCCCGAAACCTCGCCGCGACGAGAGAATCGTCGCCCGCACCAGAATCCGATGACCTCCTCGGGGAGGAGGAGCTCGATCTCCTCGCCCGTGCACGCCGCTGGTTTCAGCATCCACTGGAGAACATCCTGACCTGCTGCCACATGCTTCGGCGTGCCCGGTGGGCGCGTGGACTACCGCCAGCCCCGCGTCGTCGCACCTCGTCGGAAAGTAATCCGCCTCGAAATTCGCAACCTTCTGCGACAAACCGAAGCCCGTCTGAATCGACGCTCGGTCCAGCATGTAGCACTCTCGTGATACCACGAGCGGCGGTTCCGGCATCTTACGTCCTGCCCCGTTGATCCTCGCGCGCCCCAGCGTGGCCGTCAGCCCTCCGCCCACGACGGCGAGGCGCTGCGGCGGGAGCCAAGTGTAGCCGTCGCAGTGGCAGCACATCACTGCTCACACTTTGACGATTTGAAGCCACGCCACCCCGCGCAAGCGCGGCGCGAGGCCATCGTCCATGAACAGCCGTTCCAAACCCCGATGAAAGGCCCTGGGGGCACGTGCTACCCTCGTCGTCGGTCCCTTGCCAGCGCCGAATAGCATCTCCACATTCGTGACGACTTGCTGCGCCTGAGGCAGAGCGGTCAGCCTGTCGTTCGCATCAACACCCGCGACCACCTGCGTCAAGACCCAGGCGCGCAGGGTCTGGTTGGGCACGGTTGGCCCGCGCGGCTCGGCAACCCTGGCGCGCACGTGATCGATGAAACGCACGATCGTCACCGGCCACGGTGCCCCCGTGGCCCGTGTGCGCGCAACAAGAACCACCTCGCATCCTCTGCATGGCTCGCGCGTGCGACCTTCCTGTGTTGATGCGCGTGCGGCCCGTGCTGCCGCCGCTCGCCCGCTCCAGGGCCATGCAGGCCCGCGCGGTCTCGAAGGGGACCGCTCCCATCTCCTCGAGCAGCGCAATCAGGCGAACCTTCCATCGAGCCCACTTTTGCACTTCCAGCCCGCGCCGGTTCCCCTTCCGCGGCTGCGCGGCGCCTCCGCGTGAAGCGGGCCCCCGCCATCGCCCGGGCCCCCAGCGGCGGCGGGGCCCCGGCCGCACGTCGGCCGTCCGTCCACCGGAGGCACGCTGTGGCGTCCTCCAGCACGGCCCGCTCGGGGCAACCGTGGAACGACCTCAGGCGTCCCAGAACGGGCTCCTCAGCAACGGCCCAATCCACGAGCTCCTCTAGCGTATGCCGCGCCTCCTCCACGCTGCGGCCCGCGGCCTCGGCAAGCCGCACGGGGTGTTCCTCGAGCTCGGCCTCCTTGGCCTGCAGCGCGAGGCGCGAGGCGCGGGATGTCGTACTGGTGCAGCACCTTGCCGTCCCGCCGTCGCGCGGCGTCGAGGGCGCAGGGCCCAAAGGCCAGCATCTGCGCCCAACCGTTGTTCAAGATCGGCCGAGCGTCTGAGCCCAAATGGCCATAGGCATCGGCAGACTGAAAGGATACACAGTCGGGTTGGCACACGGGGGCAACGTTCTGCTTGGGAGGCCCTGGGCACCACCTCAGGCCTCCTTCATTCGACTGGCAGCCTACGTCGCCAAATCTGAGTGGAAGAAGTGGGCGAGGGTGCACAGCCTCAGACAAAATATGAGCACGAAACACAGTGAGGACCGTGGGATCCCGACAGGATGCGAGGATGGTCAGGCACTGATCTGCGAGTGGATGAGGTCGGCGAGCCTAGAACTGACCACTGGCAACTGGCACTTATAGGGAAACAACACAAACGCCAGTGGACTGGGGCTGACGCTTCGCCAGGCTAGCCCACGTGTGACTCGTCACAAGAGTGATTGCGCTGTCTCCTTGCCCAGATCACTTTGTGGGCGGATAGAACGACCGAAAACACGCAAGAGGAACAAGACACTGCAGAAACTTCCGCCACCCTGCCACTGGGCGCGGAGTGGGCGCGCCCTCGGGTCATTGGCGCATCCCCTTGCGCCTCGGCCCTCAGCCCTCGCGCGGACCCCAAAATTCTCACACCTCCATAGAGGCCCCCTAGATGGGGTCGGAGTAGATGGGGTCGGAGGATCGCGCCGCATCACCGATACATCGGCGATGCATCGGCGAGGCATCGGCGATGCATGGTCGACGTGGGCGATGCATCGGCGACGCCGGCGTGAAGGAAGTCGGGCTCCGCATCGTGCCGCGTCGCCGATGCACTGGCGAGGCGGCGCGATCCTCCGACCCCATCTACTCCGACCCCATCTATGAAGGTGCCCCAGGACACACAAATAAATACACACAAATACAAAGATTCCCTCTATGTTCCTATATGTTCTGGGTTCCTGTCTTCCCCCCCCACTTCCCATATGTTCCCAGATCTTCTGGGGAACCGAAGATGACTTGTGTCTGTGTGTCTCTTTTCCTCCTGAATCTAGGAGGCCTAGACTCCAGGGGCTCCGTCGGTGCCCCCCCCCCGGGGCTCTGACGAGGGGGGCTGTGCGTGCAACTCGGTCGGTCCACAAGAGAGGGCCCTCCTCCTCCTCCCCCCTCCTCCTCCTCCTCCTCCTCCCCCTCCTCCTCCTCCTCCTCCTCCTCCTCCTCCTCCTCCTCCTCCTCCTCCCCCCTTCCTCCTCCTCCTCCTCCTCCTCCTCCTCCTCCTCCCTCCTCCTCCTCCTCCTCCTCCTCCTCCTCCTCCCCTCCTCCTCCTCCCCCTCCTCCTCCGTTGGTCGATCCAGAAGAGAGGGCCCGAGGGCGGGGCCCGGAGGGCCCCACGGAGTCGCGCGGGGAGGCGCGACGGGGCCCGATCGAGGCCCCCAGAGAGCGGCCCCAGGGGGGCCCTTAAGATGAGCTAGCTCGAGGCGGCCGCCCGAGAGGCGCCCGAGACACCCCACGAGGCCTCCCAAGAGTTCTGGCCATCGCTCGGACGTTCATGTCCTGTGTTTTTTTCGGTTTCGTGCGTGGTTTTTTCGCCGAATGATCAAGGATGCTCCTCGATGGCCCTCGCCGAGAGAGCGGCCCCAGGGGGCCCTTAAGATGAGCTCGAGGCGGCCGCCCAAGAGGCGCCCAAGACACCCCAAGAGGGAAAGGGGCCCTGGGACACACAAGTAAAGATACACACACACACACACACACACACACACACACACACACACACACACACACACACACACACACACAAATGACAGGATTCCCCATAGTTTCAATGTTTTCTGGGTTCTTGTCTTCCCCCCCCCACTTCCCATATTTTACCGTAGTTTCTGGGGATCGACGATTAATTGTGTCTGTGTGTTTTTTCCCTCCTGACAAGAGGCCTCCCAAGAGGGCGCAAACCATTGATTTGCCCGAAGGTGCTGAACTTTCTCGCCTTTTCGGCTTCCCGCTCCCCGACGCTCCAAGGCGGCCCAAGGGGCCCCCGAGATCGCTCCAAGACGGCCCAAGATGCGCCCAAGACGGCTCAAGAGGACCCGAACACGGCCCCAAAAGGAGCCCGGGAGAGGGAACAGGAACCACAAATCCGAGCCGTCCGCCCCAGGAGGCCTCCAGGCGGCCCCCAGAGGCGCACGGGAGACCCCAAGAGGTCTCCAAGAGGCCCCAAGAGGCCCCCAAGAGGCCCCCAAGAGGCCCCCAAGAGGCCGCCAAGAGGCCCCCAGAGGCCCCCAAGAAGGCTAAAAGAGGCCCCCAGACAAGAAGGCATACAAGAGGCCTCCAAACTGCCTCCAAGAGACCCCAAAGAGGCCTCCCACGAGATCCCAAGGAACATCCAATAGACTTCACACCCACAACACAGGCACGGTGACGGGGTGGGCCTCCCTGGCGACGCCGCCCTGGCGGGCCCAGCCCCGATCCAAGAGATCCGAGGGGAGCTTCGAGAAATGATGCTCCTGCCTGTTCCTGATCTTCGGGGAAGATGACTACCTACCAGACCACCCCAACCCAACCCGAAGACCCGAATTTCGGGTTGGGAGGGGTGAGGGTTCCACATGTGTTTTTCTATGCTTCCCAACCTCCCCCCACTGGAAATCGAGGGTAAAGCTGAGTCTTCGGGTTGGGTTGGGGTGGCTTTGTGGGTGGTGAGAACAGGGAAGGGGTGTGGGAGGCGGAGAGCGAGCAAAGCAGGTGCGCGGGGGCAGGCCAGTGACCGAACGCCTGGCACACTCGGTGCGCATGGGCAAGTGAAACGCTGCGCGCAAGCTGGTGCGAGCAGCAGGAGAACGCAGGGAGGCAACATCATGTTGTCACCACGGCTTCACCATATCCTCACATGCGGCTGGGATCATAGCGTCGACGCCCAGCTTGGGCACGCCGTTGTACGAAAGGTCCGTGGGCTTGTGCCGGCACACGACGGTACTGCCCGAGACGTTCAGCCGGCCGCAGCGCTCGAAGGGGATCAGGGCGGTGGGGACCTGCTCGAAGCGGATGTCGAAAGCCTGCACCACCTGGTAGATGTAGCGCTCGCTCTCGAGCACGGTCTCGGCCTGCGGGTCCAGGGCGACGCCCATGCTGGCGGGGTCCGTCATCAGCCGGTAGAGGGAGCCGAACGGCTCGGCCACCTCCCGCTCGGCGACGAACGCGTAGTCGCAGATGCGGGGCTCCCCCGGGTGGCCGCACATCTGCCCCAGCGCGCGGCCGGCGCCGCCGTCGAGCGCCACGCGGCCGCCCACGCTCAGCAGCCTGTCCAGGTCGAAGTCGAAGAGCCAGTTCGAGTCGTCCCGCAGGATCACCACGTACTTGTAGCTCTCGCTCGCCCGGATCTCGGCCTCCTTCGCGAGCGTCCAGAGTTCGCCCAGCTCTTGGTACAGCTTTGCGGCGTTGCCTCTGGTGGCCTGGCCATGCTCGAGGTCCCGATGATTGTCAATTGACGTCCACCAATTCCCGTGGTCCTGGAAGGCTTGGCCCTTCGAGGTCAGGATGACCTGCGTGGGCATCCTGACGACTCCGGCGTTGGCCCCGCTATCGCGTAACCCATCGATGATCATACCCTTAACTTCGTCCAGGCTCTTGCCGTGGTACGCAGGGTGCATGACAAAGAGGTTCCCCCAAGAGCGCCAGGAGTCGTAGCCCTCAACGCTGAGACTGAGGTACACGTCCACCGTGTAGCCCTGCCGTGCCAGCGGCGCGACGACGTGCCTGTCCAGGTTGGGGAAGTAGCGGACGAGGGTGCCTGCAAGCAGGATGGCCACGCCGCTCCCCTTGACGTAGGCCTCCTTCCCGGACCGCCCTCGTGGCGACCTCTCGGAGAAAATGTCCCAAGCCTTCCTGTCTGCCAGCTGCAGCTGCCGGAGCTCCTCCCTGCCGTCGCCGAGGGGAACCTCGAGGCTGAGCCTTGGCACGGGCTCCCCCGTGGCGATGCCGACGAGGGACGCGGCCTCGCCGTACTGCAGCCTGCCTGGCCAGGGGCTCGGGACCCCGAGGGCGCCCACCTTGATCGTGAAGTTCAGCTGCACGGTGTTGCCGTGGACCCCGCTGAGCTGCAGCGCCACGGGAAAGCGGTCCAGCCCAGGGGACGCGTTGGGGACCAACTGGAAGCCGCCGGCCTGGCCCGGGGCCCCCGTGGAGCCCTCCAGCTCCGCCCGGAGCTCCACGTCCTGGTCGAACACCACGCGCACTCCCCAGACGCACGCGCGGCAGTCGAAGTCCCCCGCGCTGCCGAAGCGGAGGGGCCCCCAGGACGCGTCGTACCTGTCCACAAAGGCGTGGACAGGCCTCGGCCCGCTCGCCGGCGGCGCGGGGGCAGTGGTCCGCCTGTGGATGGGCGGGGAGGAGGAAGAAAGCTGCGCAACCAGCAGCCTCTGGAGCTCCGCGCGGACTTCGCAGCCCGGTGCTGGACCCCTTCACTGGCGCGCGGAGCGCGCCAGGGGGCGGCCCCCAGCCCTCAGATCCTGGCGTCTCAAGTTTGTCGAGCCGGGCGTTCTCGCTAAGATTCGGGCCCTGGGATCCTCACAGCTCGATCGGGCTCGACAAAGAGTGGCGCAGGAAGCTGGAGTCTGGGGCTCCAGCCGTGCTGTCTTGCCAGGTTGTAACTTTTGTTGTCGAGACGTCGGATCTCAGGGGAGGCGCCGACAGGGGGGGCCCAGCGCAGCTCCCAGAGCTCCGCGAGGAGCTCCCAGCGCCTATCCCAGACCCCCGACGCGACGCCATGATTTGTTCATTACGTCAACCCCCAGAGGTCCCGACCCTTTCCCCAGGACCCGCTCTGTATCCCGAGTCGTTTTCTGACGCTCCCGAGGCCCGGCGAGAGCCCCCGGAGGCCGAAAGTTAGGGAAAACCTCCCGTCATGGTTTGTTCATTGCTCGAAGGGGTCGACACGTCGGATCTCAGGGGAGGCGCCGGCAGGGGGGCCCACCGCAGCTCCTGGAGCTCCGCGAGGAGCTCCCAGCGCCTGTGCTCGGGCAGCTCTCTCCCTCTCCTCCCCGAGCATGGGCGGCTCCCTCTCCTCCGTCTCGCTGAGGAGGGCGAGGTGCTCCAGCGGCTGGCCCCGAGGCGCCGCCCCGCCACCCCGAGGCGCCGCCTGGGGAAAAACCCAAAGGCGCGCCTCCGCCTCCTCCTCCTCCTCCTCCTCCTCCTCCTCCTCGCCTCCTCCTCCTCCTCCTCCTCCTCCTCCTCCTCCTCCCCTCCTCCTCCTCCTCCTCCTCCTCCTCTCCTCCTCCTCCTCCTCCTCATCATCATCATCCATCCTCCTCCTCTCCTCATCCTCCTCCCTCCTCCTCCTCCTCCCTCCGCCTCTCCTCCTCCGCCTCCTCCGCCTCCTCCTCCTCCTCCTCCTCCTCCTCCTCCTCCTCCTCCTCCTCCTCCTCCTCCTCCTCCTCCTCCTCCGCGGGGGGGGCGCGCCATGGAAGTCGACGTTTCCCTCGCGGCCGCAGGCGCACCCGCGGCCAGCGGCCGGCGGCGCCAGGAGCCAGGGGGAGAGGAGCAGGAGGACACGATGGAGGTGGACGCGAGCGTTCAGCTGGCGGCCCAGTTTCGGGCAGCGGTCTGGGCGGTCGACGTGCAAGGAGCATCGGCACGACCGGCCGCCTGCGGGGCCTGCGGCCTGGTCTTCGAAGCAGGCGAGTTGCGCTTGTGCACCTGGGGCAACCGCACGTGCTCACGCTGGATGTGCACTACCTGCCTGAAGGGTCGCCTGCCGCCAGGCGCGGAGCTCCGGCCTCATGGGAGAGGCGATGCGTTGAGCGCCGAGGCGGCGCGAGCGCAGACGGCAGTCCGCGAGGCTACCCGCGGAGCAGGAGCCGCTGAGCCGCCGCTGGAGGGGCGCCGCCGGCGCAGCAGCAGCAACACCAGCCCGTCCAGCATCCAGCTTGGGACGACAACGAGCTACCCGGCCAAGACTGGTGGACAGCCCTGCCGTGGGACGACCTGGTAACCACAGGAGCCACTACGTATGTGCAGATCCCAGACAGACTACGCGGCGCCGTCCTCCAGGTGCGCCGGAAGTCTTTGGAAGTCCTTCGGCACGCCCGGGAACGCGGGGAGGCGAAGGATGAATGGAAGTTGTTCTTGGTGCTGGACCTCCTCCTTCTCAGCACCAGCGACGAAACCGCGACCTGCGCAGAGCTGCTCGAGGAGCGCCTTGCGTGGTTCTGGGGGGCTCAGTGGGACGCGCTCTGGGCGTCCGTCCGGCACGGGCGGAAGATCCCAGTGGCGGCCGCCAAGAACAGCGACAAACAAAAGGCGGCGCGGGTACACACCCTGGCAGCAGCTGGAGAAGAAGGCCGGGCTCTCCGAGCCACAGCCAACAGCAGACTGGCCCCACGCACCCCAGACACCTTGAACAAGGTAAAGGCGTGCTTCCGCGAAACAGCTCAGCCAGCGCCGTCGTTGGAGGGCATCCCGCGGGCTCCGCCAGAGATCCTCGAAAACGTCCAGGAGGAGACAGCGAAACTGCTGCGGAGGCCGCCCCGTCTCTCGGCGCCGGGGCTGCTAGGCTGCCGCTTGGAACACCTCGAAGACGCGAAGCGTTGCGCCGAGACGTTGGGATGGCTCTCCGAAGCGATATCCTGGATCGCCTTCGGCATGCTGCCCAGCGAGGCCCTAGCCGTTCTCCGCACAGGGGAGGTCACGGCGCTCCAACAGGGAGGCGACGACGTACGGCCGCTCGTTGTGGGCTCCACGGTGCGCCGCCTGGGCTTGCAAGCGCTGGCGCGGGTCAGGAAGGAGCAACTTCGGGCCGCAGCTGGCGACAGGCAGTACGGAGTCGGGAGGCCAGGCGGCACCGAACTCCTGCTGCGGAAGTTGGAGGCCCAGGCGGAAACCAGGCCCACAGCAGTCTTCCTGAAGCTGGACTTGGAGGCCGCCTTCCCCTCGCTAGAACGGGCGCCCGCCCTGGCGGCCATGGCAGAGCGAGACGAGGTGGTCGCGGCAGCGCTCCTCTCGTGGTACGGGCAGCCAGCGAAACACCTCTGGCGAGACGCTGGGGGTCGTTTCCACCCGCTTCAAAGCGACAGGGGATTCGACCAGGGGGACCCCTTGTCGCCCGCTGCGTTCTCCGTGGCGCAGAGGGTTGCCTTGGACAGGTTCTACGAGGAGCTACTCCGCTTGGACCCACAGGCGAGGCTGTACAGCTACCTGGACGACTCCTACCTGGTGGTGGAGGCTCCGCTGGCTGCTCTCGCACTGCAAGCCCTGCAACAGGCTCTCCAGCCCCTCGGGCTAAAGCTGAATTCCGGGAAGACAGCTGCTTGGTCCCCAGCTGGGCGAGCCGTGCTCACGGGAGAGCTGCAGGCTTGCTGGGTGCACAGCTTGCCCGTGCTCGGCAAGCACCTGCGACCGCCGGGCGACGCCGACAGCAGCGCGCCGGCAGCCCTCGGGGAGCCAGCGAACAGCCTCGCCGAAGCTGGGAGGAAGCTACAGAAGCTTTACCGAGAGCTTCAGAAACTGCACAAGGCAGGGCTCAAGAAGCACGCGACGGCAGCCCTCCTCCGCGCCTACGCAGGCCCGGCAAGCCAGCACTCCTTGCGAATGGAGCTCGCGACGGACGCCGCGACGGAGCAGTACGACGACCTGCTCGCTGGCTGCTGGCAGGACCTGCTTGGGCGGGACCTCGGCGACACGGCCAAGGAGCTGCTGGGCCTCCCAGCCCGCTTCGGGGGCTTGGGCGCGCAGCTGGCTACCACGCGCCGCCACGCGGCTTTCCTGGCCTCTTGGACGCTGGCGGCGGGGGAGGTCACGGAGGACCAGGGCAGCGGGACGCTGGCAGACTGCTTGGAACGGCTGCCGCGAGCGGCCCAGCAACTGACCACTGCGAGGCAAGGGCTGCAAGACCAAGGGCTGGAGCTCGCCGCGGGCGGGGACCTGGCGACTGCGCTGCAGGCTCCCCTGAAGCAAGGCCTGGCAACTAAGAAGGTACAAAGAAACCAGCACGCAGCTCTGCTGCGACGCTTGCACCTTCCCGGACAGGCCGAGCTGCGGGGGGCGGCCGGCAGCGGCAGCGGCGCCTACCTGACCTACCCAGAGGACGAACTCTGCACGCTGGAAGACGCCCACTGGGAGACCAGCGCCAGGCGGCGGCTGCAGCTCCCGCGCGCGGAGCTCAGCCAGCGCGAGCTCGCGACGACAGGGGCCGCCTGCCGCTTGCGCGGCGCCGACGGGGCCAGCTGCGCCAGGGCTCTGGACGAGCGCGGCTACCACACCTTGACTTGCCAGCGGGGCGGGGGGGTGCTGGCGCGCCATGGCGGACTCAACCGGAGGGTCGCTGGGCTCCTCCACCGCTGGCGCGGCGAACGGCCACTCCTCGAGCAGAGAGTACCGACTTGGGACCGCCAGCGTCCAGAGGGCCAGCTCGAGCGCGCCATCCTGGACTTGGAGTACCAGGAAGACGACGGGGCCCGGTGGCTGGACGTCTCCGTTCGCCACCCCGCAGCCGGCACGCCAGCCGAGCTGCGCGTGGCCGCGCGCCGGGACGGCGAGGCCAGCAGGCGCGGCGAGCGCGAGAAACACGCGCGCTACCCAGGCGCTCGGCTCACGCCCTTCGTCCTCGAGGCGGGGGGGCGGCTCGGCGCCGAGGCCCGCCTCTGGCTGCTCGGGCAGGTAAGACGCCTGCCTGAGGAACAGCAGCCGCGGGAGCTGGCGCGGGCCCACAAGGTCCTGAGCTGCGGCCTGCAAGCTGCCACGGCGCGCCAGCTCCGCAAGGCAGCCGGCCTGCGCTAGGCGGCGCGCCAGGCGTCGGCGCCGCCGCCACCGGAGGCCGCTCGAGGGGGACGCCGCCCTTGCCACCGCCTAGCGAGCGCGACACCCGGGCTGCAGAGCGCGGGCCAGCTGGCCGCAGGCCCCAGACGCTTGGCGAAGCCGCCAGCCAGCGCGACCCCGCGCCCGCGGGCCCGCTGCGGAGCGCTGCTGGCTTACTGCGCCGCTGACTGCGCTGCGGCGGCTGGGCGGCGCTACTGGGGGGCACCGACGACTGCGACGCCGCGGAGAGGCGCAGGCCGGCGGCCGGGGAGGTCGCGTTCGTCTACGAGCTCCCTTGCATGCTGGCCAGAGGCTCCGGCTGGCAGAAGCCCTCACCCTCCTGGGAGTAGCTGCTTGCATGTTTCGCAGGCAGTTACCCCCGGGGGTGCCGCCCCTTGGGGTTGGGCGGCGGGGGCGTCTGCCGGCTCCCGACTATGGAGCGTCGGGCGCGCGGAAGAGACCCGCGTCCGCCGCGCCTCCTCCTCCTCCTCCTCCTCCTCCTCCTCTTCCTCCTCCTCCTCCTCCTCCCCCCTCCTCCTCATCCTCCTCCTCCTCCTCCTCCTCCTCCCCTCGCCTCGCCTCCTCCTCCTCCTCCTCCTCCCCTCCGCCTCCGCCGCCTCCGCCTCCTCTCCGCCTCCTCCTCCTCCGCCTCCTCCGCCTCCGCCTCCTCCTCCGCCTCCTCCTCCTCCTCCGCCCCCGCCTCCTCCTCCTCCTCCTCCTCCGCCTCCTTCTCCTCCGCCTCCTCCTCCGCCTCCTCCTCCTCCGACTCCCCGGACTTCTCTCGCGGGGCGCGTTCTGACCAGCATTTCGAGGCGAATCCGGCAGTGGCGACGAAGGCCTCCCACCCAGACCCCCTCGGGCAATGAAAAAATCATGACGGGAGGTTTTTCCTGATTTGCGAGCTCGGGAGGCTCTCACCGGCCCTCGGGACTGCCAAAAAACGGCTCGGGATGCAAAGCCAGTCCCGGGGAATGGGTCGAGATGTCTGGGTGTCGACGTCATGAAAAAAATAATGAAGTCGGGGGTCTGGGTATACGGTTACTCCCAGGACGCCTCTCGCAGGGTGCGTTCTGACCAGCATCTCGAGGCGAATCCGGCGGTGGCGAGGAAAGCCCCCCGAGAGGCCCCCAAAAAAGGGAAAAACGGGAGGAGAGTAGCTGTATCGGTACTTTTTCTTCTCTGAAGATCCGCGCGGATTTTGGGGACCTGGCGGCGCCTCCTGCACCGCCCCTGGCGCGCTGCGCAAGCCAGGGAGGGGGACCCAGCGCCGATCCCAAAACTTGCGCGGCTATTCTCCGAAAGTGCCAGCTCATGCCGCTGCTTCATCTTCTTCGATCCACGTGAGGGCTGGGAAAACGAGGGGAGAGTAGTGGCATTGGTACCTACCCAGACCCCCGACGTCGTGATTTGTTCATGACGTCGACCCCCCGAAACTCTCGACCCCTTCCCCGGGACCGGACTCTCACCCCGAGTCACGAGGCCCGGCAGGGGCCTCCCGGAGGCCGAAAACAGCGAATAACCTCCCGCCGTGAATTTTCACGACGCGAGGAGGTATGGGTTTTTAGGGGGCCGCATGCGAGCCCTACCCCTACCCCCCACGAGTTCTGAGGGGTAGAGTGGGGTTCACTTCGTCCAGGGGGGGGGGGGTAGGGGTAAGGGCTCGCGTGCGGCCCCCTTCGTTTCCCTCCTCGGACCCCCGCGGCCGCGAGCAGCGCGAGGCCCAGCAGCAGCGCGCCCCCCAGCAGCGCCCGCGCGCGCGCCGCCGGCGCCCAGCGCCCGTGGCGCCGCGGCGGGGCCTCGGCCTCGGCGTCCGAGCTGGCGCACGGCGCCGCGTCGCGGCCCGCCATGGCGGCGGCGCCCCGGGGGGGCGGCGCTCCGGCGGGCCGCGCGGGCGGTCGGGCGCCATGCGGCGCCCCAGCGCGGCTCCATCGGGCCAGATTTTGTTGTTGTTAGGGAACATTTTTTTTTCGTTTTTAAGGGAACCGTCGGGCCAGATGCACCACCCTGAGGTCCTGACGACCCAACTTGTTCTCGTTTTTTAGGGAACCGTCGGGCCAGATGCACCACCCTGAGACCCTGACGACTCAACTTGTTCGAGCCGGGCGTTTTCGCGCCTGCTCTGGCCCTGGGGCCTTCGCAGAGCGACCCGTCCCGAAAAAGGAGGGTCGGGTTCGGTTTTCTCCGCCGATGTTTCTCTTTCTTCGTTTTCGTTCCTGCCGCTGTTTTTTCTTCGAAAGGGGGAGAGGGCGAGAGAGAGAGAGAGAGAACAAAAAAGGGCCCCTCGGAGGTCTCCGCTGTGCCCCGAAGCCCAGCTGCTGGGCCAAACGCGCGCACAGCCAGCCAGCTGCCGTGGATCCTCGATCTTCGATCGACGACGACGAAATCGACGATCGACGATGACGACGGTGAGGGGGAGTATGGTGGAACACTGGCGGTGCGCTCGAGGGCGACATGGTGCGAAGGCGTCTGTCGTGATCTCCCACGGTGGCCAGCTGAGAGGTGGGCACCCTCGTAGTCCTCCTCGTGTCCCCTCATCGTTCCATCTTCTGTCCTTCCTCTCCTCCGCCTTGCCGTGAGGATCACGTCGGGCAAGGGAAAGAAAGACAGCAACAGCTCAGCTTTCTGTGCAGACTGTCGCTGCGGGCTACCAGCATCACAACAGTGCGCCTCGTTCCTAAAGTACCCGACACACCCTGGAAAGATGGTCGAAGGGCTTGTTTGGCGGCCTGTCGAAGTTGGTGAGTTGTGAGAGGGCCATTGGGCTACATCGAAAAAACGTGGAAACATCCAGGCAAACGTTGTCCCAAGGGCATTGTTGGCATGAGAAAAACTGTGAACTGAGGTAGGGGGCCTAAAGGCCGAATCGTCCGTCCGAAGGGGATCAGTAGGTAGAGGAAGCATGACAGCGATGAAGGGTTTTATCCCTCGACGCTGCACAGTCTTGTGCCTCTGGGAGGGATCCCAGAGATCCACTACGTGAGCCGATGAGGGGCAGCGGTGGAGAGAGGCAGGAGCGGAAAAAAGATAGAGAACTCCCACACCGAAGCGGGTCCTGAGGGACATGGGTCCTGGACCCTCGGGCATTCCCCCGGGACCGATCCGTGGTCCCGAACCGCTTCCTGACGGCCCCCGGACCCGTAGAGGGACCCGGGGGCTCGAACACGGCGGCACGTCTCGAAACCCGTCTGCTTCAGGAGGAGGAGGAGGAGGAGGAGGAGGAGGAGTGCACCTCCGGGCCCCGACACCTGCGGACGCCTGCAGTCCTACCGTCCCGCAGGGAGCCCGATGGGATCATTGGGGCTATAAAGGGGTCGTGCCCTTGATAAGCCTACAGTCCTACACAAGATGGGAGAAGCCAGCAGAATAATCTTCCTCCTCCTCCTCCTCCTCCTGCTCCTCCTCCTCCTCCTCCTCCTTCTCCTCCTGCTCCTCCTCCTCCTCGAGCCCCCTCAGCCCGCGCGGCACCGAGGAAACCAAAACACGTCGGAGGCCTGGTGCCCCACCTCTGCCCCTGACAGATGCACACGCGGGGCACGGCCCCTCCGCCCCGGCGCACGACTGCTGCCTGAGTGTCCCCCCGAAAGATGTTCGAAACGGCATTTCTCCATCGGGGGCTCGCAGCCATACGCTAGCACCAGCGTTCGCTGTGCCCATCTGGGGACCCAGTCTGGTGCAGGAGAGGGCATATGCACAAGTGCACAAGGCCACGGCTCAAGACGCGCCTGGACAAGCTTTGTGGCGCAGCCATCGTGCTACCAAAAAGAACTGGACAAGTAAGAGGATCTCCGACCTAGATCCAAGAAACTGCCCGAAAACCAGAGCCTCGCCTGAACCCGACATGGTACGTATTTCAATTGCTGTTTCTGTACTCCTCCCCCCCCTCTCCAACGGCCTCCTGAAAACCACCGACGCTCCCCGAAAATCACCAGAGAACGTCCCCGACGCTGCCGAGAACCCTCCGGGGACGTCGAATGCCTTAAAAACCAGCACAGCACCTCAAACCCAACCGACAACACCAGCTTCCGTACCAAATGCCCGGCGTCGCGACTTTCTGGCGGCCCACGGGACCCGCGACGCGGCCCCCCCCCCCCCCCCCCCCGTGCGATTCGGCGGCAGTTCTTTCTTTGTTGCGCTGAATTTCATTTGAGTAGGGGGAAAACAAACCTACCTCGCTTTTGACCACCCTCGCTTCCAAGAGATACCAAAAGATGCCAAATTGCAGCCTGTACTGGTCAGGCCGCTTGACGAGGAGGCGCGTGGTATGGCTTGGTTTTGCCTGGAAGCGAAAGCGGGGTAGGTAATTCACGCTCTGATTGATGCCCCCAGGTTCCGCAAGCGGCTCCAAACAGAGAATGTGCCAGGATGTACCACACGGCGTCGCACGTCTGGTTGCCAAGATGCCTCCAGTCTCGCGAGAGCCACGCTCGCCGAATGACTCAACCCTCGGTCCTCCGGCAACCTTTGAAGAGGCCCAGGGACACAAATAAATAGACACAAATAACTGGATTCCCTACAGTTTCCAATACTTTCTGGGTTTTTGTCTTCCCCCCCACTTCCCATATTTTTGCATATCTCCCTGGATATCGACGACTATTTGTGTCTGTGTGTTTTTGTTCCCTCCAGATCCTTCTCCTCCTGCCCCTCCAGCCCGCGGCTTCCCGCCCTGGTGGGGGACAGCTGGTCGGTGGGCATTCGCTGGATGCTGTCCAGCTCCTCGACGCTCTCCGCGCACTCGTGGAAAATCATGAACTCCTCCCACGCGCCAGGGCCGAACCTAAACGGTGTTTTCCGTTTCGGTCTTGCTTTCCCTCGCTCTCGTCTCGAACCCGTCCTTTTACCGCAAAACGAAATCGGAACGCAAACGGCCCACGAGATCGCTTACCAGCCTGGAACATATCCCTATCCCTATGCTGGGCACCTCCTCATCACGATGCCAATCTTAGGGATTCCCTTATTTGTTGAGGGCGAACCCCTAAGATTGTCATCGCCTTTGGGCGTGTCAATCTTGGGGATATGGATACGTTCGAGGCTGGTAAATCGCCACAGAAACACCGTTCAGGCCCGGCCCTGCCGCGCGCCACCCGCCCTCCCACACAGACGCCCGGCGTGGAGCACGGAGGCCGACGGCTATCCGGGCGGCACGCAGGAGTGGCCCGTGTTTTGCGCGCTTCTCGGGGGGGCGCGTCGGGGGGTAGGGGGGATCGTGCGGGACGGGACAAGGACCACGGCCACTGCTTCTTGCCTGCGCCGCCTGCCCAGACCCCCTCGAGTTATGAAAAGATGACACGACGGGAGGTTTTTCATTATCTTTGGCCGTTGGGGGCCCTTACCGGCTCTCGGGAGCGTCAAAAAACGACTCAGGATGCAAAGCCGGTCCCGGGGAATGGGTCGAGATCTCTGGGGGCCGACGTCATGAAAAAATCATGACGTCGGGGTCCTGGGCTTCCAGCCGGCGAACAAGAAGCAGTGGTGGTGTCATCTCCTGGTGGCCAACTCCACGAAAAGGACCACCCCCCAGACACCACCGTCATGATTTTTTCATGACGTCCGGGACCCCCAGAGGTCCCGACCCTTTCCCCATGGACTGGCTTTGCATCCTGAGTCGTTTTTTTGACGCTCCGCCGAGGCCCGGTGAGGGCCCCGGAGGCCGAAAATACTAAAAAACCTTCCGCTCGTGATTTTTTTCCCTAACTCGAAGGGGGTCTGGGGTGGTGGTCGATCTCCCTGGTGGCCCAAAGCCCACGAAAAGGACCACCACCACTGCTCTGCCTCTGCGGGTCTTGGACGCGGCAACACAAGGAGGAGAGGGGGAGGAGAGGAGGAGAGGAGAAGGCGGAGGAAGGTAGGAGAGAACTGAGGAGGAGGAGGAAGGGAGGAGGAGGGGAGGGAGGAGGAGGAGGGGGAGGCTGAGGGGAGAAAAAGCAGCGCTGCGATGCGGCCGCTTCCTCCTTTCCCCGCCCCGCGTAGGGGGCGGGGAGCGGGCAGCCCCGGCGCGCAGGCCGCTGCTTTGCATCTACCGCCGCTGCGCTCCTCACCTGCGCTCCCTCGGCCATATCTTCTGAAAGGGGGCCCCGGCGCGCTCGCACCGGAAACGACGCCCCCGGCGCAGGGGGGGCCACTCCTATACGCGTATGTAGCCGCCCGGGCTGAGAACCCCGCGGAGCCTGGGCCGGACCCCCTCGAGTAATGAAGAAATCATGACGGGAGGTTTGTCCTAATTTTCGGCCTCTGGGGCCCCTCACCGGGCCTCGGGAGCGTCAAAGAACGACTCAGGATGCAAAGCCGGTCACGGAGGAAGGGTCGGGACCTGTGGGGGTCGACGTAATGAAAAAATCATGACGTCGGGGGTCTGGGATAGCCGCCCGGGCTGAGAACCCCGCGGAGCCTGGGCCGGGCCCCGGGATCCTCCTCGATCGCGGGGACGGACAGACCCCCCTTTAGTAAAACGTGGTTTAGTGAAAACGACCTGAGGCCCAAACCTGGCGGGCGCCAGCCTGGAAAAGGACGGCCGCGGCGCCCCCTCGAGGACCGAAAACGGACAATCCACTAATCGGCGTGTCACTGTCGGGGGTTCTGTCCACCTCCGATCGAGGCCCGTGCAAAGCGGCCGGGCACTGACAGCGCCGAGCCTCTGGGCCCGCTCGGGGCCCTTCTGTGGAGATCCGGCGCGGAGCACTGCCACCCCTCGGGCTGGAGCCAAGAGGTCCACGGGGCCACGCTGCAAAACAACTGGCGTGCGCCATGCGATTGAGGGCGTTCTCGTTCCAGGGTTCCCGGGTACCTGTCGGCCGATGATCTACACGGTTGCCTAAATATTTCCGGATATGTCTGGAAGGCAATGAAAAAA